GCCTTTGCATAGTCAATAAAACACAGGTAAACATCTTTCTGGTATTCTCTGCTTTCAGCCAAGATCCATCTGACATCAGCAATGATATCCCTTGTTCCATGTCCTCTTCTGAATCTGGCTTGAATGTCTGGCAGTTCCCAGTTGATGTACTGCTGCAACTGTTTTTGGTTATCTTAAGCAAAATTTTACTTGTGTACGATATTGTTTGATAATTTCTACATTCTATTGGATCACTTTTCTTTGCAATGGGCAAAAATATGGATCTCTTCCAGTTGGATGGCCAGGTAGCTCTCTTCCAAATTTCTTGGCATAGATGAGTGAGCACTTCTAGCACTGCATCCATTTGTTGAAACATTTCAATTGGTATTCCAGCAATTCCTGGAGCCTTGTTTTTTGCCAGTGCCTTTGGTGAAGCATGGACTTTTTCCTTCAACACCGTCAATTCCTGATCATATGTACCTCCTGAAATAGTTGATGTCTTAGTCATCTAGTGCTGCTATAACAGAAATACCACAAGTGGATGGCTTTAACAGAAGTTTATTCTCTCACAGTTTAGTAAGCTAAATGTCTGAATTCAGGTCGCCAGCTCCAGAGGAAGGATCCCTCTCTCTCTGTCAGCTCTGGAGGAAGGTCCTTGTCATCAATCTTCCCCTGGTCTGGAGCTTCCCTGCGCAGGAACCTTGGGTCCAAAGGACGCGCTCTGCTCCTGGTGCCGCTTTCTTGGTGGTATGAGGTCCCCATGTCTCTCTGCTTGCTTCTCTCTTTTATATCTCAAGAGACTGACTTAAGACAGTATGTAGTCTTGTAGATCTCATCAACATAACTGCCGCTAATCCATCTCATCAACATCATAGAGATAGGATTTACAACACATAAGCAAATCACGTCAGATCACAAAATGGTGGACAATCACACAATACTGGGACTCATGGTCCAGCTAAGTTGACAGATATTTTTGGGGGACACAATTCAATCCATGACATTTGAACATTTGTTTTTTGTACAGAGACTGTGTATTCCTCCGTCTTCTTTTGATGGCTTCCTGTGTCATTCAATATTTTTCCCATAGAATCCTTCAATATTGTAACTTGAGGCTTGAATTTTTTCTTCATTTCTTTCAGCTTGAGAAATGCTGAGTGTGTTCTTCCCTTTTGGTTTTCTAATTCCAGGCCTTTGCATATTTAATTATAATACTTTGCCTTCTCAAGCTGCTTTTTGAAATATTCTGTTCAGCTGTTTTACTTCGTCATTTCTTCCTTTCACTTTAGCTACTCTACTTTCAAGAGCAAGTTTCAGAGTCTCTTCTGACATCCATTCTGGTCTTTTCTTTCTTTCCTGTCTTTTTAATGACCTTTGGCTTTCTTCATGTATGATGCCTTTGATGTCATTCTACAACTCATCTGGTCTTTGGTCATTGGTGTTCAATGCGTCAAATCTATTCTTGAGATAGTCTCTAAATTCAGGTGGGATACACTCACGGTTGTATTTTGGTTCTCATGGACTTGTTTTAATTTTCTTCAGCTTCAAGTTGAATTTGCATAGGAGCAATTGATGGTCTATTCTGCAGTTGGCCCCTGGCCTTGTTATGACGGATGATATTGAGGTTTTCTATCATCTCTTTCTACAGATGTAGTCAATTTGATTCCTGTGTATTCCATTCAGTGAGGCCCCTGTGTATAGTTGCCATTTATGATGTTGAAAAAAGGTATTTGCAATGAATAAATCATTGGTCTTGCAAAATTCTATCATGCCATCTCTGGCATTGTTTCTGTCACCAAGGCCATATTTTCCAACTATTGATCCTTCTTTGTTTCCAACTTTTGCATTCCAATCACCAGTAATTATCAGTGTATCTTGATTGTATGTTTGATCAATTTCAGACTGCAGAAGTTTGTAAAAATCTGGAATTTCTTCATCTTTGGCATTTGTGGTTAGTGCATTAAATTTGAATAACAGTCATATTAACTGGTCTTCCTTGCAGGTGTATGGATATTATCCTATCACTGACAGAACTGTACTTCAGGATAGATCTTGAAATGTT